CTCTCTCTCTCTCTCTCTCGATTCTCTGAGGCATCGGCCCGGCACGCGCAGGCCCCAGCTGGTGGTCCAGCGGGCTCCTGTCTTGTAGTCAGTTGTTTCTCTCGTCGTCGCTCTTTCTCTATAAGGACGGGCCGGGCACGTGGCAGTGGTCGTGGACCGCCGGCTTTTCATCAGCGGCGGGGCCTGTGGGACACAGTGCGCCGTGCGATTTCGCAATTTGATCCATGCTTTTCGTCTTGCATGGGCAGGTACTACGGGAAGGGGAAGTGGTACATCCTGGACACCGATGCGCCGCCCGTGATCGAAGTGGCGGCACCACCGGTCTGTGCGGACTCAGTCAGAAGAGCCCGGAGCCCACAAGGAAGGTCTCGAATGTGTCGCTCAATTCCGGTCAGTTCCGTGAATCACAGAGGCCAGTTTTCTTAATTGGACGTGTGAGGTCATGAGCGAGTACCTGAACAAGCAGGAGTTCTCGGACGTGAGCTTTGTCGTGGAAGGCTCGACCTTACTTGGAATTGCCACATCGTCACGTAAGTCACTCAGACGGTCTGAGTGACGCAAGGTCGGCGGATCTTCGCCCATCGCAGGATGCTCAGTTGTGACCAGCATGTACAACCGCCAAGCGCTGCAGGCACTGCATTCCCTTACGTCTGAGCAGAGCATGGCTCATGACGTGAGGGAGACCAAGAGATTCATGTTTCGTGTCGTTTGTGAACCGAAAGCGGGCCGTGCTGAGGCATACTGCTGACGCTCTTCTCCGACTATTTCCGGCGAGCGCTTCTGCCTCAGAGTGTGTTGCGGAAGGCATGTTTCTGTCACACGAAGAGTCCTGCAGGTTCGCTTGCGGCATGCGCGAGAGCTTTGAGCCCGAGATCCTGATCGAGGACATGTCCTACGAGACTTTCCACTCACTGCTGGAGTTCCTGTGCCCTCTTTGACCAGGGCTTCAAGATGGTTTGAGGCTTGATGCACCCACCGAACGTACCCTGAACGAGTGAGGTACATCGGCAGGCTCCATGTTTCCCAGGCTCAGCAAACCGATGCAAGGGCCAAAGGGCCAAAGCGAAGCGAACTCAATCGGCCTCCGGTATTGGTCCTTGACTCTGAGGTCTGCTTCCTGATGGGCCTCCTGAGGGCCGCGGACCAGTTCTGCGTGGACTGCGTTTGGAACTCGATGCACGGCACGCAGAGCGACTGGGCTCTCTCTTTGCGGATGACAGGTGAAGCAGACCTGCGAAAAGCACCTGAGTGCCCTGGTGGATTTGGAGAACGTAGAAGGCCAAAGAGAAAGCCTCTGAAACGCGGCCTGCGTGAAACGCACTTAGTAGCCTCTGTGCACTCCCTGTGCCAGTCTTCCTGTTGGAAGCCGAGCGCTTCCAAGCTCTGCAGCTGGTACAGTACTGCGAGTGGCCTCTTGGACAACAAAGACTGGTTGTGAGGCCCTGGGGCCCTCCCCTCTTGCCGCGCGCCCTTTTGCGCAGCGCGCGCTCGCTCTCCGCTTCCTACCCAGGTTCAAGCGCCAGCTGGACTACGAAAGCCGGCTGGGCCGCACCTTCAGATTCGCCTCACTTGTGTGCCACCACAAACTTGCTGCATTCCTTTGTATCTCTGAGGAAGCTCTTGTGGAAAGGTGCCCAGGGGGGTCCTTCTGAGTTAATCTGCAAGCCCCTGCATCTCTGAAGTGCTCCGCCACCGCTGTCTGGAGGTTTCTCCACCGGCTGGCCACTGCATGTCCAGCACAGCACAGTACCTCGACGCATCCTCCCCACCTCTTCGAGTCGCAACAGCGTGCGCAGACAGGTCCCTGGCAGCACGGTCACGGAGGGAGTCCTTCGACTGAGATCCGAGTGAAATATTTTCTGCAGCACGAGCTGACGCAGCTCGCGCATGCTCGTGCGGTCTGTCTCACTTCTACCATGGGCAGCGTGCTCAGCGGCAGAAAATCAGCGTGGCGGCTGCAAGTTGCGTGCTATGGATCTAATATACGAAGCACGGAGCCGACTCGCAGACATCCGCAGACCAAGCGACTGCGAGGACGTAGATGGTTGCAGGGAAATTAGCATTGCAAACGTATTGTTTACAAAGTTCCGTTTTGAAGCACACGACCCCGCAGACTAACGCGACTTCAAGCGACTTGGAAAACACCACGCATCTTCTGCAAAAGCTCTCTGACGGAACGACCCCAAGCTTCCTGCATTGCTGGGGCAGGGCCGCGTACAAACTCCATGACCTTCTCAAAGATTAGCGTAGGGCGGCCGATTTGGTCCGCAGGCGCAGATGGGCATTTATCCAATGTCCTAAGCGTCTGCAGTAGTCCTTGGTGAGCTGGAAAGCTATGTCATTCGTCATGCTGAAATTCAAGCTCGGCCGAATGGTGTTTGTTTGGCTTGCAGGAGGACAAGCCAAGTTGTTGTGAAGTTTGCAACAGTGCGCTCCTTCACTACTCTTGTTTTGGTTTAGCTGCTGACGGCGGCTTGGGCTGTCAGCTGCTTGAGTTTTGCCAGCTGCTGTAGCGTGCCTGCGACACTTGTTACTCCGTTTCTTCACCCCTCTTTGCCGACGTTATTTATTTTTTTGTGAATTCTGGTTGATGGTGCTACCCGCAGCCCATCAAGCCCCAGACAGCTACCACATCCAAGAAACGCAGCAGGGCATGCAAATTGCTGTGACAAGAATAAACCCTAAGGCCCTAAGGGCTAAACCCAAACCCTGACCCTAGGATTTTCCCAAATGCCTTAAACCCTTAACCCGCAAAAATCCCTCAGGGTTTGCGTGCAGATTGCCCAATCCTGACACAGGAGGGTTTAGTGTTTAGGTTGAAGGAGGGAAGGGTAAGGATGTAGGGTTTACGGTTTTGGTGTTTAGGCTTAGGCGTTTGGGGGTTTAAGTTTGGGTTCGGGGCTTAGGAGGTTTGGGAGTTTCATGTTTTAGTGTTCAGAATTTTTTCGGTTGAGAGTCTATGGAGTCTAGGGTTTGGGTCTTAGGGGTTTAGGGGTTTGGGGTTCGGGGTTAGGGGCCCCAAAGGGCTGTGTTGGCGCAGCTGTCTGCTAACCTCAGCGCGGGATGTTTGTGCCCAAGAGCCTCAGACGCAATCCGTCGTGGCCGCTTTGCAATACCAACCATGGTAAGAAGGCATAGGAAAGCCAAGTTTGCAGATTTGTGACGACGAGGCATCGGACCGGCTGCAACCCATGTGTGATTGCGAGCTCCTGGCTGCTTGCGGACTCTCTGCATGGCCCCGAGCTGCACTGCATAGGTGTCTCAAGGATGGGACATTGTGTGTGTGTGTGTGTCTGCAAACTTGGCTTTCCTGTGCCTTCTTACCATGATTGGTATTGCAAAGCGGCCACGACGGATTGCGTCTGAGGCTCTTGGGCACAAACATCCCGCGCTGAGGTCAGCAGACAGCTGCGCCAACACGGCCGCTTGGGGCACATGCCGCCACTTGGACATCGGGACTTTGGACAGATTGATCCTGCCCAGGATTTGCAAACGGGTCGGATTGTTTGCTACGGTGTAGTACCTTTGTGCTTTGCGGACTCATAGCACAGACGTCGTGCGTTGGGGTTGAGATACTTTGACGACGATGCTGCCTCCGAATATTTTTACTTCGGCACGGAAAACAAACAACGTACAGCAGGATATGCAGATCGGTTTGGGCGCAATGCAATACTGACTGAGGCACTAGCTCGAGAAGCTTGGCCGGGAGTTTCCACTGGCGCTCGTAGAGTTTGACGATGCTGCTGCCTCCGAATATTGCGGTACGGAAAGCAAGCAACCGCGCAGCAGGATCTGCAGATCGTCGCACTGGCACTCGTAGGATTTGACGATGATGCTGCCTCCGTACTTCGGCACGGAAAACAAACAGCCGTGCAGCAGGATATGCAGATCGGTTCTGGGCGCAATGCAAAACTGATTGAGGCACTGGCTTGAGAAGCTTGGCCAGGGGAGTTTCCACTGGCACTCGTAAGATTTGACCTCGATGCTGCCTCCGAGTACTTCGGCATGGAGAACAAACAACTGTGCAGCAGCATTGCAGATGGGTTTTGAGCGCAAAACCAAACTGACTGAGGTATCAGCTTGATCGGGAAAGGTGGCACCCGCACAAGTTGAGGATGCCTACGTGGCGTCTGCTGAACACATGCCCCTCTGCGCGAGCTAATCAAAATCGACCGAGTAGCAGCTGGGGAGGCTCTTGCTTTTGGCCGCTTTCCTGGCAAGATGGATTTACGGTTTCAGCCTCAACGAAAATATGCGACGATTCCTGCCTGATTCTGATCCGCGCTTACGCGCACCTTTGCTTGACAGCAGCAGCAAGAAAAACAACAATCGTTGCCGCATGGCACAGAGGAAACTTGCAACCCTTCTTGACTTCGTCGCTGGGAATAAGGAAACAGGTGCAGGCATGCGGTGGTGCACAAGACATGACATGCACACTTGTTTCGACAACCAAGATCTCCAAGATTTCTGGCACATGCAGTTCAGCTCATTCAGGCCACATGGGGTCGCACAAGAGCATGACCCAAAGAATGATGTGGACAAGCCTAGAATCAGATCCTTGTTTGCTTGAAGCTTCCGGCGAGGGCCCTTGCCCTTGCTTTTCTGCCTCTCCGAGTGCTAGTGGAAACTCCCCCGGCCAAGCTTCTCAAGATAGTGCCTCAATCAGTTTTGCATGTGGCCAAAATCGATTCGCACATCCTGCTGCGCGGCTGTTTGTTTTCCGTGCCGAAGCACGGAGGCAGCATCATCGTCAAATCCTACGAGTACCAGTGCAAACTCCCCCCACCAAGCTTCTCAAGCTAGTGACCAGTGCCTCAGTCAGTCTTGCATTTGCCGATCTGCAGATCCTGCTGCGCGGTTGCTTACTTTCCGTACCGAAATATTCGGAGGCAAGAGCATCGTCAAATCCTACTAATGCCAGTGGAAACTCCCCGGCCAAGCTTCTCAAGCTAATTGCGCCCAACACCGATCTGCATATACTGTTGCGCGGTTGTTTGCTTTCCGTACCGAAATACTCGGAGGCAGCATCATCGTGAAATCCTACGATTGCCAGTGGAAACCCTCCCAAGGCGGGATGTTTGTGCCCAAGAGACTCAAACGCAATCCGTCGTGGCCGCTTTGCAATACCAACCATGGTGAGAAAGCATAGGAAGACCAAGCTTGCAGATTTGTGACGACGAGGCATCGGATCGGCTGCAATCCATGAGTGATTGCGAGCTCCTGGCTGCTTGCGGACTCTTTGCCAAGCCTCATCGTCTGCGTGGCTGCTTCGAACCAGACCTGCGATGTCAGTGTCGACACTGAGGTCATGGAGTCATGCTGATGGCAACATTACGGGTTGAGCTTGGCTGGTCCTTCTGGGCGGTTGGGTTGTCAGTGCTGAGGGTTGCCCCGCTCAGTTCTTACACACATGAGCTGCGCATGAAGACCAGAAATGGACCTGGTTAGGGCGGAGGTTTTGGGCCATTCGACTTGAGCCAAAGACATGGTAAGAACTTTTCAAGTTTCGCAAGTTGATGGCGTTTTGTGTGACCCTTGGCTTACCGTGTCAGATTTCACTAGGCTTTTCTAGTTGTTGGAGGAGCTTGGGTAAATCTTAAACTGGATATTGTTCAACGGGGGTGGCGTTTTTGCTTCAAGCGGGACGCCCGAAACGGAGGCCGAATTGCGGTCCTATTTTTTGGGTCCGGTAAGCAAGAAGAGACAACGGAAACTACTTTTGGATGCCGACTGGTGGACCCAAAATAGGGCCCCAGTACAACAGGTTTGTTTGTTCGTTAGCTCGCGAATATTTTGTTTCGGAATTTCATATGTGCGGTGACAAAATGTGGGGTGTTGTTGAAAGCAGCATGAAGCAACGGCTTCAGGACGAATGCTCCGAAAAGGACGGGTGGGGCGGTCGGATTGGAATTCGTATAAAGGGAACACAAGTGGCATTTCGGTGCACTGCATGGAAGAAAGAAAAGCTAGGATGCAGGAAGGTCTGCACCTCCGTCCCGAGGGGAATTCTAAGCCCTAAGCCTGAACTTGTAAATCTTCAACATCGTTGGTGCGTTGAACGAGTTGTCGGATGAGTCGTCATAATCCTTTCGGAGATGCTTTTCAACCAAAGAAGTGAATAAAGACATCTTCGGATAGGTTAACTATCGATAAGGTCAGGCTTGACAAGGTGAGGCTTGCCTGAGTTGTGTAAGGCTGGAAGGTACTTTTTGTGTGTTCGCGTGCTCGCAAACTGGGCGTCTAATTCTATGTTTTCTTGGCCTTGCTGGTTTGTGATCAGTCTGATCCTGCGGCCTTGTTTTGACTATGTTTGACCGAACCGCCCGGTACCCGTCTTGGATCATTTGCTGCCTGCAATGAGTGCCTGAACACGTGCAAGGTGGAGTCATCGTGAATGTTGCTAGCAAACAACGGCCTGCAGGGATGTCCGGGGTCCCCTGGTTCCAACCAAGCCTTCTACAGGACCCAAGTGGGTGGTTGCAAGAAGCTGTCTCACCAAATGAAGTCAAGTCTGTGTGAATCCACGTTGAACTGTGATTGTTGGTCAACATGATAACATCGTGATGGTTGGCCGCCGCAGCTTGCCCGCAAACGTAGACCGGGTTTTAAGAGCAGTCCAACATGTTGAGAGACTCAGCAGAGACTCAGTGCAAATAAGTATGATTCAACATCAAAACCCGCCTTGACCCACACACGTCGCCAGACCGACACCACACACACACACACCCACACCCACATGCACACAACCACACACACGCACGCACACACACACACGCACACAGACCCACGCCCAAATACTCAAGCCACTGCAGTCAGCCCCTGCCCCGTCTCGCTAGTCCT